CAGGCTCTTCAGAACCCCAAGCATCTCCTTCCTGTGTCTGTGCCCTTGTTTACCTCTCTAGCATATGTTGCCCCACCCTCCTCCATCCTCGTAGATCCCTGCTCGCCTGCCATGACCCCACTCTGGCCTGAGTATCTTGAGGCCAAGAGCAGGATCTGTCATTTTCATGCCGTGTCTGACACGTGGCTTGGAGCCTTGGAAGCCTTGGTGGATTATGGGTGGTGGCTTAGCGGGTGGGAGATGAGTAACTGGAGGGGCAGGTGGTGTGGATAGACAGAGTCGGGCGGGCAGATATGTGGTGGGTGGCTAGGTGGACAGGTGCCAGGTGCCTTGACAGGGCTGACCTGAGCTGAGGGTGAGAGAAGCAGGTGTTTGAGAGACATCTGTTCCGGGACTTGGGGAAGGAGCCGGCCAGAGAGGGGTCCTGGATGATCCCCACATTGACATCATGGGGATTCAGGCAGATCATGGTGTCAACAGAAAGGAGTGGATTTGGGGAAAAGGTGGTGGGTCCCTGGAGGACATGGTGCGAGGGGCTCTGAGGGAAGGGCCAGGAGGCACTGGGGCATGAGCTTCATTTGGGGTGAAGCCAGGCTGCCCAGGAAATGGGGCTAGTGCGGGTGGTCACAGGGGCCAGTGGGATCACTGCCTGGGGGACATTCGGTGAGAGGGACAGAGGGTGTATCTTGAAACAAGATGGAGGCGGGAGAGCAGCCATGGTCCTTGTGGTGGACACTGGGAGGGCCAGAGAGCCTCCAGGGAGGAGAGAACTGTAAATGCTATTTTTAAAATGCTTTCTCCTTTTCAATTCAACTCCACAAATATTTATTGGGGCAAAAGGTTCTGTGTAAATCCATTTTGTAAATTAAATTTTTGGACAACAAAACACCCTTTTATCTGGGGATGGGATGACTGGGATTGGGAGGAGCCCTGAGCTGAATTTTTTTGAAAGGTCCCACTTGGTATGGGTTTTGAGCCAAGGAGGATTTTGATTTTCAAGGTGGCAGAGGGAGGCTTCTGCTTGCTCCACTTGTGTTTTGAAAAGATCCTTTGGTGAGCAGCAGGTGGAGAAGAAAGCAGCACGGCTCCAAGTGCGGGAGCTGGTGGAGGCCCACACACAGGAGGAGCTCTGGAGATAAAAGGAAGGGATTTGAGGGATGTATAGGAGGTCTTAAAAAGAGAGTAGGATGGGTCTTGGGTTTCATACGTGGGGGAATGAGAAGGAGAAAGGGACGCAGAGCCCCCTGGCTGCTCAGTTGCAGAGAGGCTGTTTCAGATGGCAGGAGAGGGACAGGTCTGTGGGAAAGGGTGTGCACGGCACCTTGGACAGTGTGAGATTCCCTCCCTGCGGCTGGCCGAGCTGCTGGAAACAACTTGGAGCTCTGAGGTGGGAGCTGGGCCTGAGAGAGAAGTGTCATTCCGTGATAGGAAGGGAAAGCCCAGAGCTCAGGACAACTGGTCAAGAAATGTCTGTTCAGCACTGAGAACATTTGCTAAATGACACCTTCACTGAGCACCTCCGCAGGCCTAGCAGTGCGCAGTGACAACTGAGTAGCCCAAACTCTGCCTAGGGGCTGACACTAGAGGGAGAGGGAGGGACAGTTGGGCTGAATGACTGGGTGACAGGGCAACAAGCAGGCAGGAGGGACAGGTGCTAGGAGTGTTGAGCAGAAGGGCCGGGGAGCACCAGCACCAGCACACAGGCCAAGAGCGTGCAACAGAGATCATCACGGCCTCACATCTATCTGAGGAAGGGGTTGGAACTACCCCTGTTTAGAGATGAGCCACAGAGTCGGAGAAGTTAAGAAAGGTGCCCTGGGGCATTCAGCTACATAACTGGCAGAGCCAAAATCTTGACCCTGAGTCCTCACCACTGTGCCAATGTGAGCAAAGATGCCAAAGCAGGAAGTGCACAGGTCAAGCTCACAGACTTCGGTCATGACTGCCAGGCAGAGGAAGAGCAAGGGCAAGGCCCTGAGGCAGGAGCCTAGAGATGGAGGGCACAAGGCCATTGTGACTGGGACAAAGGGAACAAGTGGAGAGAAAGGAGGCAATAGCAGCAGTACAGGGAGGGCTACCTGAGACATCGGTGTCAGCTTCTACCTGAGGTAGAATGGAACACTGGAGAGTTCAGCGTTGAGAAGGGGCCACATCTGACGTCAATTCTAACTTGACTCCTCAGATTTCTTGCTGGGAGCGAGGATAGAAGTAGGAGCCCAGAACAGGCAAACGATCCAGTTGAGAAATCATGATTGCTCAGTGGACAACAGTGGCAGCGGTACAGGTACTACATCAGCTTCCTGACCTATTGTGAAGGTGGATCAGGTAGAGGTGTTGCTGGCCTATATGTAGGAGGTGAGGTAAAGAGAGGCATCAAGGAGACTCCCAGACTTGAGCAGGAATGGCTAAAGGGCAGGGTTCCATGGGCTGAGGCAAGAACAGCTGTGGAAGGAACCACTTCATAAAGAGCTTCCTTCATTCTTTATTCCTTTTCCTCCTTGGCTACCCTCCGAGGTAGGTGCTGAGACTTGGAGCAGTTACCCGACTCACCCAAGGTCATACAGCCAGAAGGGAGTGGAGCCAGGACCTGAATCCAACTGTGCATGCTAGATTTTAGATTTCTGATTCATCCATCCAGTCAGCAAACATTGCCGGAGTACTTGCTATGCACCAAGCACTGCGTGCCAGGCTCTGTGCTGAGCGGTGACAACAGCGGATGTGCTGCAGTCGGCCCCCTCCCCAGCAGTCCAGTCTGCTGGAGGACGCAGCATCGGCCAACGTTTATCCCACATCAGAAGGAAGGGGAGCGAGGGAGAGACTGAGGGAGCCCTAGGAGCCCATTCAGGGAGGTGGACCTGTTTAGGGTGTCCAGAAGGCTTTCCTGAGGAGAGAGATGGGGGACAGAAAGCCGCCTGGGGCAGAGGGGATGTGGGAGTGGCTTCTGGGAGAATATGCCCAGGTGTGCTGGGCTGTGGCAGAACCCAGGGAAACGCAGGCTCCCAGAGGCTGTGACGGTTGAACTTCAACTGGGAAGCTGCAGAATTTTCTGCTGGCTTCTAAGTACTGGGCTGCCTTAGCAGCTGTATTGAAGCACAATTCGCATACCGTACACTGCCCCGCTTCCTGGCTTCTAGCATATTTGCAGAGTTGTGTACCCATCACCACAGTCCCTTTTAGAACGTCCTCATTACCCCGGAAAGAAACCCCCACACCTCTTTGTGTCTCTTCTGCCCAGTCTCCCCTCCGCCAGCCCTCGGCAACCACAACCCTCCCTTCTACGAACTTGCCTGTTCTGGACATTCCGTAAAAACAGATTCATGCAGCACGTTCTCCTCGGTGCCTGGCTTCTGTCACGGCCCAGCGTTCTCAAAGTCCATCCCGCGTGGGAGTTGCAGAGTCTTGAATGGCATCACAGCCAGCAGGGACAACCCGAACGTCATAATGATGGGGAGGCTCCGGGACCTCCACGGCAGGGCCGGGACTCCAGGGCTGGTCTTTGGAGCCTGAAGGGGCTTTGAGGTACCCAGGTCAGAGCCCCACCTGCTGTCCTGTTGTGCCACACCCACTCGGAAAGCCCCCTCCTACTGTCGCTGCTTCCCTCAGCTCTGGGTCTGGGTAAATTTGGCTCGAAGTGACAACTTGGTGAGGATTGCTTCCTCCTGAGCACTGGTTTTTTTTATGCATTGGCAATTTTCATGCCTTATGGTGCTTCTTGAAATCTTTTATGCATCTTTAAGGATTTGTGTCCAGAATGTTTTGGAGCTTGATATTTTCTTTTCTTGCTACTTAAACATTCAGAGAGTCCTGCCTGTTTCGCTTGGTGTGGCTGTTCTTCTGCGGGCAGTGGGCAGCACTTCTGATTCTTCCGGATCAGAAGCCATGGCCTGCCTCCTCCTCGGGGTGTGGCCACTGCAGCTCTAAGTGCCTGTTTCCTCCTTTGAAGAGGAGGGCTGCTGTGAGAAGGATATGAGCAGGAGCCTGTGAGGCTCTGGCTTCTCTAGGAGTAGGTGCTCTGATGTGGGAGGTGTGGTTGCCGAGCAGCCCCTTGGAGGAGAATGGGGGTGCTGCCTGGGGCCCTGGGTTAGCAGGTGAGAAAGGTGAGCCCTCAACACGACCTGCTGCCCCATCCATCCCCTCCCGGGCCACAGGCGAGAAGCCTAAGGTGTGCCACCTGGTTTCCTCTGTGTCTCAGTTTCGCAACCTGTAGAGTGGAGGTCGTTCCCTGAGGCCTCGAGGCAGGCAGGAGGCTCCTGGGAGGGGTGCGGGAGGGAGGCCCTTTTTCTTCCAAGAGCTGGTTCCTGCTGTGTTAAAGAGCCCAGCTGGAGCGATGACACCTGTTCTGGAGAGGTGGGCGGAGAGGGACACCTGGATGCCTCTGCTCTCCCCCAGGATGTGTCGCGTGGGAGGTGGGGGGGCACACAGTGAAGGGAACATAGCAGGCGCCTCTGTGAGGGTCATGGCCAGGCGTGTCACTCATGCCAGGCGTTCCACGTGCGTTAGCCTCTGAGTCCTCACGGTGCCCTCAGAAGAGGTTCTCTTATTCCCATCTGATAAGTGAGGAAACTGAGGCTCAAAAATAGGAAACTGCGTACCCAGTATCAGCCAGCAAATGAGAGGTGGAGCCGAGATTTGAACTCAGAACTGTATGACTCCAGCCCCTTTCCTGACTTCCTTCATTCTGAGGAAAAGAAAGGAGAAGCAGGATGAGGAAGGTTTTGAGGCTTTGGAACCCCAGCTTCCCAGGCTGTGGTGGGGATTCTGTGGGTGGTGGGAAAGGCATTGTAAATATGCATGACATGCAAATATGCCTCTAAAAAACAATGTGGGGGCCCGCATGAGCTGGGATGCCAGAGTGCTGGGGAAAATGTAGTGTACAAACACTTGGGTTCCTGTGACGACTGCTCCATGTTGTCCTCCTCCCTGGCGTCCCCAGGGCAGATCCAAGGGTCTCCAAGTGGAGAACTTATTGCCTGACGAGTGTTCCTCCCCCATTCCTGCAGGCACCGCTGCTTCCTCCTCTGCCAGGTGCCAGTGGACCCTGTGTGTGACCAGGACCTGGCAGGGCTGCTGCCCCATCCTGCTTCCTGCCAGCATCTCTGATCGAGTGCCTGGAGGGATGTGTGTGCCACCCCTCGGTCCAGTGCCTGTCCCTGAGGTGACGCTGGCTGTGAACCACCTGGTTCCTGTTTCTCCTGTGCACGTAGCTCCCCGGTTGGTAAGTAACTGCAGCCACAGGCCCGGGTGCCTCAGCCACCCACCCACACTTAGCACAGTTGGGAAATGCCCAGCCTTCCCTCCCGCCGGCGCCCACATGCTGGCAAAGAGACCTCCGTGGGAGATTTTCTAGGTCTGGGCACCATTTGTGGTACATGGCTTGTTGTACCCTGTCCTCCTGACAGCCCAGGAGGTGGGCATGGTAACTGCACCCATTCCACAAGAAACTGCCTCAGAGTGGGGAAGCCGCGCCTGACAAGGCACAGAAGTCCAGCTCTGTGTTCCTCAGTGGCCAAATGTTGCCACAACCAGGAGGCAGGGCAGAAAGCAGCATCAGCTCAGGAAAGGAAGAGGACCGGGGAGCCGTGCTGAAGGCCATGGGAACTTGGGGCTCCCGAGGCGGCGTGCCTTCTCTAGCGCCTACCTCGTGAATCCTCCCTGGGATGAGCTGCTGGGCCCAGCCTCACCTCTGACACCTATCAGACAAGGCCGAAGCCTGTTCTACCCACACTGGCTCTGCCATCCTTCCCGTGCTCCTGATCACACATAGGAGCAGCCACTGCAGCCCTCTTCGTGTCAGCCCGGCACCTGGTGCTTCTCTGTGTCTCACTGCCATACCCTCACCACTCGCCTCCCAAGGCCCTGCGGGGGAGACAGAGCTGCTTCCCAGGTCAGGAAATGGGCTCCGTGAGACCAGGGCTGGCACGGGTCACCCAGCACCACTCAGTGCTACAGGGGCCCATTGTTAAGGGCGGCTCCTCTGCCTCGGCTCCCCAGGGTGAGGAGCGCTGCTCCCCCACCAGACAGCCGCAGCCTTGTACAGGGGGCTGTACAGTGCAAGCTGCAGAGAGAGCAAGGAGGGAGAAGAGGAGGGAAGCCAGCAGGACCCATGAGCCCACAGCCTTTTGGCTGTCTGGGCTCCATGCTGACCCCAGAAAGCCTCTGTGGGCACAGGCAGCAGCACAGCAGCCGTCCCCTCCAGTCCCCGTTCCCTCATCTGCCGACAGCTGCCCAGCCTCCCTGATGGGATGGTATGAGAAGGGAAGAGACTCGTAAATATGTATTATATGCAAATGTCAAGGATAATAAAAAAAACTGCAAAGTTCGCTGCCGATAATATATGTAGAAATGCTTCTTTGAGAACAAGGAGCTGCACGTTCATGAGTTGCCAGCCTTATTATTAATAACTGTGAAAAGGTCCCATTAATTAGCAGCCTCACCACCTCTTTCCCCGCCCCGGCCCTCTGTCCTCACGGCAGTCACAGACAGCTGTTGCATTTGGCTGAGGAGCTGTCGCCACGTAGTGATTCGGACATCTCCGTTGGAACTGGGAGCCTCAGTGGGATTCTGTCTTCTGCAGATGGGCCTGTTGTGCCTAGGGAAGGCCTGGCCTCCCTGAAGACATGGGTAGCAGGGGCAGCCTGAGTGACAGCTGGCGTTTCTTGTGCAGCCTCTATGCGCCCGGCATTGTGCTAAACACATCCCATTCTTGGCCATCTCAGTTGAACTCCTGGTGACTGAGGCATGGACCTGCGAGTGTGGGCTCGGGCTTCCCTGAAAACAACTGTCACTCAGTACCCACCTCCACCCCTGGGGGACATACTGGGAATGCAGCTGAGCTGGCAGCCCCTGGTGTGTGTGGCCCAGTGACGGAGAACGGGATTCCTTGGCACGAGCTGGGGGAGCAGCCGTCAGCATCGTGTGGAAAGATGGAGGCTGGGGCGGCGCGAGGGAGGTGTTACTGCTGCTATTTTGCTAACAAGCTGGTTATTTAAAGAACAGCCTGAGCCGGGAAACCATTTGGGGAGTCTCCATGCCCAGGGCAGAGGCAGCCAATGGTACCGGGTCCCCAGGGTCAAAAGACCTGGGTCAGAGAAGAATTGCCACACATTGACATTTTCATCCACATATTAACAATAGTAACGGTAGCATAAAGTCTGAAAAAAAGTTTCACTGCGTGGAGGAAAGAGGCCGTAAGAATTGAGACAGGTGTGAGGGGCTTGTGGGACAGGCAGCGTTCCGTCCATGCACCTGGTGGTAGGTACACCGCTCTTTGCTTTCTAACAACTTATTGCGCTCAATACTATAGCACTGTTCCTTGCACTTTCCTCTGTATCAGTAAAAAGACTAAAATATAATTGCAGTGGTAACAGCTAATATTTATTGAGCACTTACTGAATGCTAGACTCCTTGCTAAGCTTCATGTATTTGTAGATCATTGAATCTTCATGAATTCTTTTATTCTGCCCATCCATGTTATATATAGGAGGAAAGTGAGGATTATGGACATAAAGTTACTCGGCTTGCGATCAAAGTGGGCAGCACGATCAGAAAGCAGACATGCTGCCTCAAGCCTCACGTGCAAGGATGGGACCAGGATGTCCTCCAGGATAGGCACTTCTTTTGTCCCTCTGATGTGTCTATGTCTGTGGCAAGGCTTAAGAGGCCATCCAGGTGTCTGTGGCCACGGAACCTGGAAGTCTGGGAGGCTGACAATGGGTCGGAAGAGAGCACTTAGCCATTTGACAAGAGTTAAAGGATAGGAATAGGACATCCCTAGGGTCAGCCCAGGGGAGGGGGCCAGACATATGCAGGCTCATTCAAGGTGAAAAAGAGGACATGCAGGTACGGCAGGGTCAGAACCAACCTCTAACAGATACGAGGCCAGTCTGCCATTTCCTGAGGACTAATTACATACTAACACTACCGTTACCTTCGTTTAACCTCAGAACAACCCCCATGAGGTTAGCAACATTGGCCCCATTGTCCAGATGAGGGGACTGGCAGGGAAAATGACGGGCCAGGGGCCACACAGCCAGCCCCAGTGCCTGGTGCCCTGTGTGCAGCCAGCATGGTCCAGTGCTGGGCAACTCCTGGGCATAGAAGCTCCAAGCAGCACCTGGCTGGAAGCAAGTTGTAAGACAGTTGTTTAGGTCACTGAGCTGGTGCTGGGGTCATGGTCTGGAGGGAGCAGCCCGCTCTGCTGACAGAGACATTCCTGGAGCCCAAAGCTGTCTAGTGAGACTAGTCCTGGCTGGTCTACACTTCTCACAGAGGACACAGCCTGGGGGAGGGACAGATATCATGCAGTTGTCCAAAACAATAAACAGAATGAGAAGAGAATCCAGTGCAGAAAGGAAAGCAGCATGACAGAGCTACAGATGAACAGGTGGGGCCCGGACTGCATGACGTGGGCTGTCCGAGACAGCGGCCTACAGGGGCAGGATCAGCCATGCTAGAGAGCCGACTTCATCGCAGCGATTCTGGTAGTCGCAGGACTCTTGGGAACAAGCCAGGGGACTAGTTAAGCCCATCTCACTGAAGCCGTACAAAGCGCCTGCTGCAGCTGTTAGAAACGGGGCCGTGGATCTAAATTTATTGTTACAGCGAGAACATCATAGTGTGTTGTGATTTTTTTAAAAAAAGAGGTTATAAAACAGCATGGGTAGCATGATATCACTTTTGTAAGAACTATGAATGTTTCTGGAAACTGTTCACAGTGTCCTTCCTGGAGAGAGGAGCATAGGTGGTCTTTGCTCTCTTCTTTATACTTTTCAGGATTTGGAGTCACTTCTGAATGTTAGGGCTTGTGAGGGAAGGACAGTGGGGTTAGGGCTCCCATGGTCCTGCCTGGACCAGTTCTCTGCTCCTACTACTGATCCTAAGAAAAATGGGACAAGGGATGGGCTGGGAGATCAGATCTGGGTCATATCTCATTTACACCACTTCTTGGCTGTGTGGCCTTGGTTAAGTCACTCACCCTCTCTGATGCTACTTTCTATAGAACAAAAATTAAAAAATAGCGTCACAGGGTAGTTTTGGGTCTTATGAGAGCTAAGGCTTGTGTAGGACTAGAACGGTACCAGAGTGGCCTCACAGGTAGATGCTGCCCTTGTCCCTGTGGCAGCCAGAGGTGGCACCTCTTGTGTGCTTGTCGTGCCTTGCCAAGGCTCCCCAGGTGCTTCTCCCTCCTTAGTCACCGAGGCAGATGGACTGGGAGAGGAGACTAGGACAATGGCCAGCAGCACCCCGCCCGACCCTGGCTCCCTCCCACCCTCTCGCTCGCCTCTGCCAATGAAGCACTCTTGCTGGAGACGCTGTTGGGAGAGGATGCCTGGGCCCCGGGTTTGCCTTTTTGTGACAACCACTAAACTTGCCGGGAAAGACCCTTACTACCGCACAGAGACTCGGAATCTTAAATCTTAGGCAGAGAAAGTTATGCTCATGAAGTCACTCTCCTGGAATCATGGGATCTTTGTCATAAACAGTCCGGCAAGTGCAAACAAATATAGGCATTTTACAAGTGAGTTCATGGCACCTCTCTTGATGATGGTGATAAACTCGAAGCTACTCACTTATCTATCTGTGAGAGATGGTTGAATAAAACATGTCCAGCCAGACAATGGTGTTCCCACAGCTCCGGCGACAGTGCTGTTGAGCTATGCTTGTTGACATGGAAACATGTCTACGTGTAGGGTAGAGGGGAAAAATAGAAGGCTGGATATGGTATGTGCTGTGTGATATTTAGATCTGGAGTCGTTTTCAGGTGTTAGGACTTGAGGGAAAGAATAGAGTCTCTATGCAGATACTACTGGTGTTTTTTTATGAGAAACTATAAATACATGCATGTCCTTGCCCAGAGAAATGTGGAAGAATGGTCATTGAACTATTCGCAGTGGTTCCTGTGGATGGCAAGGTATGGTGAGCTTTATTTTTATTTTTGCTCTTATCACTCAAAATCTTGTCTAGCACAAGTGACAAAAAAAAAAGCCTCCACCTTAAAACTGGAATGTGTTGGCTTATCACCATAAAGTCCAGAGCTGTGTCTGCGACAGGCTCCACTGCCTCCAGGGCTCATCAGCACCTGATTCCTCCCGCCATTTCTGAGCTCTGCTTCCCCGGGGTGGACCCTGTGTTCCCATGGAGCTCTCCTGTACAGGTAGTGAGATGCCTCTCCTGGGACATAAACAAGGTTCTTCTGACATAGCTCAAAGGTGAATC